TAATGAAGTTATTTGTTTTTGGTTTAATAATATAATTCTTTTATAAAGATAATATTTAGTATTTTGAATTCAATGATTATCCCAAATATATTTTAGATTTTTTATATTTAAAATAAGATATTTATCCAGAATTTAATTATGTTTATCTGTAGTTAGTTACACAAATTCAAACATGAAACTTTAATAAATTGTACATACGAATAATTTACTTGTAATCTTGAATTTTAAGTAATATACATCAATAAACAGTACTTAATGCATAAAAATGATTTTTAAAAGTTTTTGTCAAATATTTTATAATATAATATTGATATCTTATTTAAAATATTTTATTTCTTTGAATGAAAAATGACATATTTTATATACGTTGTGAAGTTAAATTCTTTTATCGAACAAATATAAAATCAAAAGCATATAATATAAATTTGTAACATATATAAAATATCATTTAAATGATTATTAATAAAATTATGAAAACTCGTTGCATGAAAATTAAGGTACAAACACTCAAATTGCATGATTTTAAACACCAAAAACATGTCTTAAAATATTTCTTGAATTATTGATAACAAATATTTCATGATGATTGCTATTTGTTAATAAATTTATACCTTTAAGCCAAAAGTTTAATTGTCAATATATATATATATATATATATATAGGGTTGCGTTCACGTGAGACCAAGGGATTTTCATGAGATCTGTAAGACCAATTTATGTTCATTGATCAACTTTATAAGTTAATGATTTAATGGTCTAAAGTTGCACGGTGACAATTTTGTGATTCTTGAGAAGTCTCGTGACAATTTTGTGATTATGAATGTTCAGATTGTAGATCTAATCCAAGGGTCGAGAATTGGTCTTACGGGTCTCATGAAAAATCTTTGATCTCACATGATCTCAAATCTATGTAATATAAATAGATGTAATCTAATTTCTTCATCTGTTTCTTTCATTCAAATAAAAAAAATAAAAAAAATTATTTTCATAAAATATATTGTTTTGGTGGTGTTATGTAATAAGTAGGATATTAAATAACTAGTAATTGAGTTAAATTGAATTATAAATCATTTGATGCAACAATAAGTAAACCTTAAACCACAAAGGTGGTGCCTGATTAATTTGAGTTTGACTCTAAAGTTTAAAAGTATCTAGAGGTCTCAGGTTCAAATCCAATGAAGAATAAAAATTCTCTTGTGGCCACGGAGGTTCAAATGTGGTGACTTCGGACTATCTGCAAAGCAAGTGGTTGCCCTGAAATTAGTCGACCCACATAACGGGTTGGATATCCAGGTTAATTAAAAAAAAAATAAACCTTATAAATGAATCTTGAAAATGGATGAAAGAAAAGGTACAAAATTATGAATAACTTTAGAATTTGGAAAAGTTAGGTTTGAAGGCATAACTCTTTGACTTTGGAGTTGTATGTGAAATTATTATGTGTTGTGTTGAGTGTGGATATAGAAAAGTACAAGTAATAGTATTTGAATCAACTCAAATAGTGGATCTCACCCAATATTAAAATCATAAAATAAATAACATGTTAAAATATGTGTTTATATAATCTCATTTTTGTTCAAAAATGAATATATAAGATATCTTTTGGTATAAGTATAATTGGAAGAACTTTATGAACATGGAATTACGAGGATGAGTGTAGACCCATATAACATGGTGGTTCGTGATCGGAAACAAAAGATCCGAACTGGGAATGGATCTAACTGAATTGAATTTGAGGATGTTCGATTTCGTTCTTGATTCTTTGATTTTAAAGAACCGATGCAGCTGATTCCATTTAGTTCAAAATTAATAAATTAAACACATTTTTTGTTTTTGTTTTTGTTTTTTTTTTCGAAACAACTGATATGTTTATATGTCTATTAGTTAAAAGCGACTAGCCTCGCCTGGTGACGGTGACTAGTGAGACTCACTAGACCACATGGATCGGTGGCGTCATGCCCATTAAAAAAATTAATTTAACTACTTATTGTTCTACCAAAATTTCAACTTCTATGAATCAATCGACGAAGTTTTTGACTAACAACTTATAAATACGAAATTATATCAAAATGAAATCGAACTTTTTTGACATTCATGTTTTGGGGACCATGAATCAAAATATTCCATATGTTGAACCATGATTCAAAATTTCTCATTTTCTAGAACCACAATAAAACCAATTTTACTTTAATTCAAGTCTCTTAGTTGAGAAATCTTGAAATAAAGATATTGATTCATTTTTTAATAGGAACTAGAAGAGTACTCGCGCAATGCAGCGAGATACATCGTGTTTTTAATATTTTATTTTATTCTTTATCTCAGTCGATGTTATAATATGACTTTATGTGATTTTGAGAAAGGGATGATGTTTTTATTTTTGAATAAAATATATGTTTGACGATATCATAAAAATTTGACAAAAATATATCGATATTAG